TACTTTTTTATTCTTATTTTACATACTTACTTTTTTAATTTAATTCTATGTATTTTTTTTTATTTCATTGCATTAAAAAAATTTAAGTAAGTAAAAACATGTTTTGTTTTATTTAAATAAATAAAATTATCATGAGCTCATAGAAAAAATTGTTTGTGCTGGTGAATTGTAACGCACAGGATCCGAACTGCCCACAATCCACCATGATGCATGGCCAACAATAGCAGAAATACTCGCCAACAGTTAATTGCATTCATTGAGTGCCAAAGTCAATCAAATGAAAATGAAACTATAAATGACCCAAAACAAAAGACATTCACTTTCAATACTTGTACACTCAAATGAAAACAAAGTTCCACTCAATATCTGTACTCAGCCAGCACGCTCTATAACTCAATTCATTGTATGCTCAGCTTCTGCGCTGAGAAGTTCGAGTCAATTGCTTAAGTTTTTGTAAAAAGTGAGCGAACAACACAACTAACTTCTCTATTTTGGTGACGAAAGAAAAAAAATATTTACTGTTTCGTTTTGTTTGTTGTTTTATTTATTTACTCTTACACTGTTGTTTTGATATTGTATTTACACTCAGTTTTTGAGTTGCAGTTAGCGGCTTGCTTTATTTGCGGCGAATTTGTCGTAATCGTTTTGTGTGTTTGATGTGGTTTAACAGGTTGTTTTTTTTAACTTATTTCCTTTTTACTATAAAGTTTTTGCGGCGAATTGCAAGACAATTTATGAATGAATGCTTAGCGGTTTAGCTTTGTTGTTGCTTTCTAATTGAAAACTTGTTTATCTCTTGTATAATACTCGTATTAATACTATATTTTTATAGAGTTACTAATAAAGTAATTATAATCTTATTATAATTTTGAGAGCTATAATAAGTTGAGAGCTTTTACTTCTGTGAAGGAAATTGATTAAATTACTACTTTTATTGTGTTCTCAGCTCTTAAGTTTGTCTCATAATTCTCGATTTACGCAACGAATATTCAAACAGACTCAATGCTTTAAATGTTTCCTTCGTCCAAAATATGTATAGGGGCGTAGCAATAGCATGATCTCCATGGTTGATGGCTGGCCTCAGGAGCTAATAATTCTGATGTCCTAATTAAGTTGGTAACAATGCAAGATCAGAACCTTTGAGCAGCTGCGTCCAATATTCAGTCAAAATATATTAATCGCCCAACAGAGAGCAGCCATTGATCGATTTTGACCCACGTTTACACTAGTGGATAACTGCGGGTCCTTACAGATGCCGTATAGTGCGGACCGAAAACGCTATTGTTACTGTGAAGCAAAATATCGTAGAAGACACGTATGAGTTCATACGCTATTGCACGCAAAAATTGGAGCTGTTAAGGAATATCTTGTGGAAGGATCTTAGCTTACGGGCTTACAAAATCCAAATCGTGCAAGCCCTGAAGCCGAACGAACTTTCAGCGCGTCGCACGTTGAAAAATGGGCCCACTGTTTGATGTGACCTGTGATCAGAGAGAATCATTGGTCCATATTTCTTCAAAAATAAAACCGCCCATAATGTTACAGTCAATGGGGAACAATGTTAGAACCATGACTTGTGTCTTTATTGTGACTAAATATGTAGAGGAGCTTTGGTTCTTATGAGACGGTGCTACTTGTCATACAGCTAACGAGATATCGATTATCTATTATTATATTATTGAAGGGAGCTTTTGTAAGCACAGGCCTCCAAGATCATGGGGTTTAATACCTCCAGACAACTTTTTATGAGGTTATGTGAAGTTACTTGTCAATAGCGTGATAGCCCATACTTTCATAGTAAGCCTTTGCAAATGGTAAGAAGTGAAAAATATTCATAGTTAGTTGAAACCTGTTTGGAAAGGACAAAAAATATACAAAAAATTTATGAAAATTTTATTACGAGCAATCTAGTGTGGGTAAGAAACGGAGAGGGGCTTCGTTGAAATTTTAAAGGTTAGAAACGGTATTTCGTTTTCCGGCCAAAGTATGAGTTCTATGAAAAAATATTAATAAAATAAAAAAAAAGAATAACTACAGAGTTGTACGTAATAAAAAGATCTTAAACTTTTTAATTAACACCTTACTTGTATCACCACAAAATTTATAATGAAAAAATCAAATTATATAATTTTTAGTTATTTTACCTTTTATCAAAAATCACTCTCTATATTTGATATACTACCTTTCCAAAAAGGTATAGCATGGCCCGATGCGACGAATAAAATTATATAATAGAACTACACACTTTCAGCGCCAACTAGCGAAAATACCGCAAAACTTTTTTGACAACCTATTATATTTTTTTCTGATTTAAAAAAAAAAAAATAAAATTATGTATAAGAGTTAGTGTGACCAGCATATGTGCATTCAACATTGTATATACATTTCAATGTAAAAAAATATTTGTTCATGTTGGATCCGTCACAATTTGTCAGTGACTCAAAAAAACCTCATGTCGTTTGGTCGAGATAAATGTTAAAAAATACGATGGCAGTGTTTTCAAACGCGTTTATCACATCGTGACATGTGATAAATCGTGGATATATACGTATGGCCCGAAAAAAAACAGCAGTCGACTGAACGCAGAACAGTAAATTCTGAGTGTTACATAAATGCCGAAGAGGGATCACGGAAAAGTGTGTGGATCTTAATGGAGAATATCGTGAAAAAGAGTAAAGCTATTTTTCATGATTAATGATTGCTTTTTCTTTCTAATCCCGAACCTTTAAACCTGCGTATACGACCGTAGTAAGACTTTTCAATTTACCCTTTGCGCAAAAACCCATTCGTCGAAATATTTTTGTTTTTAAGGTTGGTTTGATTGTAATCTTTAATGTTTGGTATACGCTTGTCCTTCTGAAGTACCTAAAGTTCATTCAGTAAGTTTTACAATGAGTGAAATTATTCAACAAAAAAAAAAAAAAAAAAAAAATGTGTGAGGATTCAAATTTCTGGTACCGAAACGTACAGAATGTTGGAAAAGGCTTCGGTGGTATTTGTGTGTCTCAAGTGTTTTTTATTGGTACAAATTATTCAAAGACGCTTGGTACACGCCTAAGACCGTCATGAACATAAACTGATAATCAACACATCAATAAAATAAATAAACACCTCAATCGACGATTCATAGTCAGCGAGAGATCTTACTGGCCTCGTTGGAATATAGGAAGGATCGGCGAAAACGATTTTGAAAGATCATTTGAGCCTAAGAAAGTGAAAGCACGACTAGTACCATAATCACTCAGTTATTTCGAAAACAGCGTCGCGTTAAAGTCTGTTTTCCGACTATCAAGATGTCATGGAACGTATTGTTACTGGCGATGAGTCTTAGATCTATACTTAAGACCTAGAAACAGACGATCAATCCTTCGAATATAGTAGCAAAGGTGAGCCGATCCCGAAAAACTACGTCAAATCAGGTCAAAAATCAATACTATGTTGACAGTTTTCTTCGGTTATCGAGATGTGGTGCACTCCGAAATCCTTCCGAACGGCCAAACTGTCAACAAGGAATACTAATGGAGTGTCATACGTCATTTGCACGAAGCTATTCGTAGGAGGACACCGGAATTATGGGCCA